TACGACAATGGCAGCAGCAACATTTACGCTGTTTTACAGTCTAATGTGGGGAAAAGAAACCTCTGAGCAGTGGCTTGCTTCTATTCTAATTTCCAATGGACAAGATATCTTCGTTGTGCAGCCCACGAAGGTTATGTTAGCCGTCATCGTCATTTCCTTTCTCCTGACAAGAAAGAACAAAGGCAAATGCGAAGAAGAAGAAGAGACTGCTACCGATCCACACGCAATTGAGATAGATTTTTCCTGCGATGATCCCAAACAGCGCTTTAAGAAATATCAGCGGGAAAAGATGAGGGAGAGATCTAAAAAAGAAGCGCAGTTGACAAGTATGACAAGAGACATTATTCTGCATTTAATATTTGTGTTTCTTCTGGCCATCGTATCTTATGGAAACAAGAACGGAAATCGTTTTCTGATGACCACCGAGACGAGAAATCGATTCAATAAGTTTAATCTGGTAAGATTATGTTTCTCGATGAATAAAAATGATTTTTGTCCGCAGTTGTAAAATATTTGACAGTATTCAAAAGCTATTTCGCCTGCCAATTGATCCTTATATCAGTGAAAGATTACAGACTGGTGGATGTTTAAAAGAGAAATAGGTATTAAAGTCCGTCGCAATACCACATCTAGCGATAGTAAGTGAGCAGGCTAATTTATGCAGGTTTCTGGTGAATATAAATAATGACTTATACCTTTGCAAAAAGGTAATAGCGATGTTACTATGGATTTCAAATTTAGGTTTGCTTTTGAGTGAGATAGGCGTTTGAATTCTTTTATTTATTCATTATTCATTGTTTGCTATTTGCATTAAAGATTGGCGGCGAGTCTCTTTCACCCTCTCGCTTTGTTCCTGTCTTTTGATTTATTGCTTTACCTTTCCTTGTTCGTTTGTTTAATAATCATGCGATCATGCGAGTTACACATTCTATCTTCTTGACGGGTCCTTGGATCTTAAGTTCTTATTCTTTATTCTAGGTAAAGGATGCGCACATATTAGAGGCATGGTTAAGGAACGAATTCATATTAAACATTTATAATCAGGCGTGGTACAACGGACTTGAAGAGGAAAATGATGTGTATATCGGGAACAAGATGTCGGTATTAGTGGGAATGCCCTGGTTGCGACAGCTCAGAATTAAAAAAAGTAAACTTAGATCAGAATATATCATTTTCTTAAACAAACGGGTTATCACAAAGACAATTTCTACAGTGACAATAGACAATGGAGATTCTAAATTGGTGGGAAAAATATCCTTAATATACAATTGCAAAATGCTTGTTTAAATAGGAAAATGTCATAGTGACTTAATTAATTCGAATAACTATAAGTGCATGTCTAGTGATCTGGAAATAAAAAAGCTCGTAACTTACATACTAAATTATACAACTATACTACTACAGGCTCTAGAAAATAAGGCATAGGCATAAAAGAACATGTACTTGTTTGCTGATACATTTCAACTCGCTACTCATGACTTGACTCAAAAGCATTTTTAGAACCAGAGATTTTTAACCCGATATCAAGAAACTTCATTGGCGTGTTTTTTTTTTTTCTTTTGCCAGCATTTTTCTCCTTCTCTCTTTCTTTTTATCATCATTTATCAAAAATGCAAATCTTAAAGTAATTTATTCCAATTTTTTTTTTATTTGAAGAATCCTGCAGATCACTCCCTAAAATGATAGCAGATTGTTATTACGACTATTCTCCAGAAAATGAGGACACAACTTTGCTAAGCCTTCCAGGTTGGATACCTCTATCCCTCAATACTTCGTGGCCCAATGCTCTCCAAATTTGCCCTAAGCCTTGGCGATATCAATCAGCAGCAGAACTTCGCAACGATCCCATTCTAGCGTCTTACAACTCTTATGAAGGGGGTGGTTATGCAGCAGTCATGGGATACGATGAAAGCACTGCACAAGGCGTCCTCAACGAGACTATTACTAATGGATGGCTTGATCGCCAAACTCGGGCTGTAATTCTAGAGTTTGCTGTTTTCAATGTCAATACAAACTTGATTAGTGTTGCCACGTACTTTTACGAGGCCTTAGCTACTGGTGCAGCCTACACTGCAAGGAGAATTGAAACACTGGAGTTGTACAGCACTGAGTCAGGAGCTCTGATGTTTTTCTTGATTGGCCAGTTTCTTTTCATGGCAATGGTCCTCTTTTATTTCATAGTTATGTTAGTTCACCTTTATCAGCAACGCCTAGGTTTCTTCAAGTCT